CTGTGGCTGGAAGGTTGCCAGTTCAAATCCCACAGCCCGCAGAGGAAACCTACTCCGCTGGGCCCCTGAGCAAGGCCCTTAACCCCTGCTCCAGGGGCGCTGTACATGGCAGACCCTGTGCTCTGACCCCAGGCTCTCTCCCTATCTGTGTGTCTGTGTGTCTCATGGAGAGCAAGTTGGGGTATGCGAAAAGACAAATTCCTAATGCAAGAAATTGTAAAGGGTTAATAAAGTGATGTTATGTTATATCTCTAAAATACCGTATAGGCTACAAGACACAAGAGTGGTCACGTCCACCCTAGTTTTAGTTTTTTTTTTAAACAATTTCATTGGGCCCAAGAAATAATTAAGGACTACCACTCACCATGTCCCCCCCAACCTCACTAACACCGGTGGAAAGAGTAAGAAATTGAAAGTTAAAGCAGTTCTTAACAAGGTAAGTCTATCCTGCTGTAGACCCTGCCAAGAACCTGCCAACTATAACTCCATGCTAGCTGGATTCATTTTCAGCCAATTAACAGCTATCCATGAATGGATCTCACTAAAACACTGTGACAGTCCCAAAACTCAACTGCAGAGTTTGCCTTTGCCAGGTAAAAGGGAAATAATCAAGAGAAGTCATCTAAAGGCACTGAAGCCCAGGACTAAAATCTGCTTATGATGCAACTACTGCACCAATACAAATACTACCATAACAGACGGATACACAGCAGAAGAATGAAGCATTAATCTTCACAGGTTCTTTTCCTACTTTCCAGACCCTCCATGCACTTAAAGCTGCCTTGTTACATTTAACAAAGAATTGTCACGGCCAATTTATAAAGAGAGAACAGTAATGGCAATAACTATACAAGGCAGACATACAGTATTTAGCACGTCTATTGTAATGTGGCAGATGTGTTTTTTTCCCCGAAACTCCTACCACATTGCTTACAAAACAAAAATAGTAGTAGAGAATGTTTTATTCAACAAACTTTTTTTGGTAGTTTATTTTAAAGAAGAATGTTAAAAAACTTATTGAAGACAACAACCATAACTCTCTGGGTAGGTACTATTATTTATATTAGGCTATTATAAAGCTGGTGATATTTCATCTATAATAAAAAAGCTGAACAATTCCAAGAAAAGCAATAAGCACTCAATGTGCCAAAATTCTAAATTTTAAATGATCTTCAGACAATCCACATCTGACCTTTTGTAATGTCAAATCTATTCTGGGCAATACTAAAACTTTGCTTGGCACCAAACCTGAAAAAGCTAGCAGCACTAGACCAGGCACCAAAGAAGAATATGTACTGTAAGGTAGTTGCCCAAACACATCTGAAGGTTAATCTGCAATATACTAGCATTAAGGCAACAGATTATAATGGATTTAGTGAAGGTTAACCCCATTAAAACAGCCTTGGGTATTTCTATTTAATTTGCTGGTAAACTCTGTACAGAATTTGCAATACAGAAGATTTATACTATCTTTTGCAAACAAAATCTAATTGAAAGGAAAATGAATAGGCTATTCATTCAATAATACCTAGGCAAACATTCTACATCTTCATAAATATCCGTACGTTTTTAAAAAAAGCTATGAATCCTCTTTTTTCTCCCTTAAACCTTTAAAAATAGCATAGCAATATAACAAACACTTTTTAGTTTGAAGATTAACAGACTCTACACTAGCACTTGCCAATCCAAAAATGAAATTATCACTTAATTAATAAATGTCACCTGTATAACTTTTATCTGCAGTGACAGAAGAGACTAGGGGAGTGAACTATTTAACCACAAATGCTGCTAACTAGTCACTTACTGTACAACTGCACCTTCAGTATACAGTACATATCTTACAGAGAACAGAGTATAAGGCAACTATTATTTGGCCAGAGAAATAACAGGTGTTTAGAAATATGAACCTCCCAATAACCATATCTTTACCTGTGTCACTGGACACTCTAGTCTCCAGTGTGGACTGCTATATTTAGAAGTCAGAAGGTGTACTGTGTATCATACCAATGAGATATAGGGCTTATATTGAGCTACTGTATATGGTTGGTTAGTACATGATTCAGTAGCTAGAGTCAAGTCCCGAGAACACTTGCTTATACATATTGCTTGACCCATTTAATTCATGACATAATTATTAAAATTACATCATGTTGATTAATTTATATTTCAGCAACCAATACAGTTTTACTTTGTTCATTTTACTGTAGCAGTTTGGTAATTCAACCCCCCCATAGACACATCACTTTAAAGATCACACTTACAGCAGAGGTAAAGAAATACATTAGAAAGTTTAGGATACAAAATGCAAGATCCTCATTATTCAAGTCCATGAATAAGCTGGGTGCACAAAAGGTAGGCTTGGGTATTTTAATAAACTTTTCTCTTTGCAAAGACACCACATCTCTCCTACAACACCAATATGAAAGTCCCACACTAACCACTCTTCATGTCCTTTGAGTGGAGTTGTGTAACATGATATACATTTAAAAGTAGGGTCAAACAGGGGATCTAGCCCAGCTGAACTCAAAGCACTGTTAAGGGAAAAACCCAAGATCTAAGACAACAAGGACTGACTGAAATCCTTAGAAATTAGTATTCTGGCTCTGCATTTCTAAAACATTTTGCCTTATAACTAAATCTCTATGTGGATTGCATTGAATGTATTGAATAAGATATGGTGAAATAAAAAAATTCAGTCTAGATGAGAAACTTTTTTTTTCTTTCCCATCAGTTGTAGAAAAAGAAAACCAACCAAAAGAATGTCTATTTATTTTGTCAGCTGTAGAAACATAAAAAATATGTTTCTGTTTACCAAAAAAAAATCATGATGGAACAATGCATTTGGAATCAAGGCAATTAACACTGACATACTGTGCACTGATAGCCTCCAATGCCAAATGTTTGGGCATGTATCATGTCAAATTAAGAAGATATATGGAAATCTGCAGGATACCAATGTAAATCTGGAGCGAAGATCATCCCCTGCTAGTGTCAAGCCAGGGGATCAGACTGCAGCATGGTTGTAGCTGCCAAATCTTTTCAGTTAGCCACCTGCGACTACCTGCCTGACAGGCTGAATACTTTTAACATCACGGGCACAGGGCTGCATCTTTCTGACTGCCTGGAAAACACATTCAATTTTCATGATGTGCCTTTGCAAAACAAAGACCAATGGGTGTTTGTACACTTAGTGTAATTTATGAGATTCCAGACACTTTTTTAAATTAAAGTTCTTGTGTTCTGCTCACATGCACTGTCTATAAATAAGACACAACCTGTAAATTCACATTTTGAAATTTAACATGTTTAGCACAAGGTGAAATTCTAATATTATAGCATTCTAACAATGCACAAAAAACAACAGATTGAGTTTCTCAATTTTCTATTAGACTCAACATGCCATTGTATCTTCTACAAAAACATGGACCACATTAATACTGTATATCGGAGTTTTATTGTTTTGTCAATACTAGCTTCATTCCAACAGCAGTCATCTACCACCTGGAAAAGCTTTACTTATTGTAAGGAGACATTTCTGAATACATAAAGAAACTACAAGAAGCAACCTGCTACAACAAGACACAATGTCTTAACCAATCAGGTTGCAAATCACTGAGTACAAAAAGTCTCCTGAAAGAAAAGAAATGTTCCATTTAAAAAAAACTTTCAGTTTTGCAAACTGATAAGACATTGAAAAAGATGTTGTTTTTTATTTAGTATAGCTACAGTAAGTGGGGATGTTCTCAGTAGTGATCAAGCAAGATAGAAATGTGCTATATCTACAGCGTGTGTACAGTATGACAGGCACAACATAATAGTGAGAGGTAAAAAAAATGCTATTTTTAACTGGCTATTTTTAGCTTAGAAATCCCCTTTATGCAGGGGTGATTTTTGGAATGACAAAAAGACAGATCTAGTAATTCTGTTAGAATTACTAAATTGTGGGGCAAATAAAGTTTAGACAAACAACCTTAGCTGTTACTGTGGTAAGAGTTGCGTTTTACTCACAGATTATACGGTAAAGAAAATAAAGGGATCTGAACGTAAATACGGTACTTGTTAATATGCGCTTTTAATTTTTTAAGTTAATTATCCAATTAGAAACAAGTGTGCTAAATCTAGAGGCGGCTTATGTAGATTGATTAGATTTTAACGGCTGTACTTTTATTTGGGCATTTGCTGCTTATTTTAAGATGTAAAAATGCTCTACATACGAAACGGTAATACTGCCGAAGTGGGAGGAGGGCAATACGCACTTGACAAATGCTAAATTCCAGCTTGTAACAGTTCAAGGACATCACCGAAGGAAAAAAAAAATTACAAATACCCCATTGGCATATGCTGTCCCCATGAGTCTGTAAGAGTTTATTGAACACATTTTAAAAAACGCGTTATTTTTAAGTGTAGGCTGGCAAATGACAAAGTTGAATCTCTCAGAGCATTTACACTGCTACAGAGAATTTCTTTCTGTGTTGTGATATGCTGTTTTAAACGTACCTTAGCGAAAAACTGTCAATACATACTAAACAGTAACCACATTCAGGGCAACTAGGAAAAATCTGATTTTTATGAAGATTTTTGCACGAGTGATATTTTAACTTACTTTAACTTAATGGTTTATACCAAGAGGATCCCTTAATGCATATGGATGTTCTGGCTTTAACGAGCCCCGAAACAAACACAGGTGATGTCAGGATTGCGCAGATAATGTTAAGTGAATGGTGCTTCTTCCGTGACATTGTATGTGAAGGGTACAAGTGAGCACTAAATTACCACTGCGGCTCTCTGCGGACAGGAGTGCTGTCCCGTTATATCAAGTTTCATAGCCGGGAACTTTTTTTTTCAGTTGCACACACTAAAATAAAAAAGCTTTTATTACAATTTGCACGCATTTTTATAAAGAGAAATACGTGCCAGCCGAAGCCAAGAGTGTTTGCAAAGCCAGCTAAATGCAAACGCTGCGACACGGCAGTTGCAATCGGGTCAAAACACACTGTTACCTCCTCTTGAAGTCCTTTTCAAATGGTTTAAGATAGGGATCCATTTGAAGAAGGTTGGTCAGCTCAGGAACTGTAACTTTATCCATGCTGTCAGCCATCTTTACAGGAGACCAGAGTAATCGAGCTCCGAAGCTCACAGAGGAGATGCAACAAATGCTCAACCACAAACGGAGATGCAGCCTTTGTCAGCTAATGTAAAGAAATCCGATAGCAGCGAATCAGAGTCAACTTCAAACGCTAAGCCAATACTAGAGATGCGTTCCACGTGGTTCTGTCTACAATAAAAAGCGTTGTTAAATCATTCAGTAAGTGGTATGCCTTTAAATGAATTAAGGGGAAAAGACGAAGACAGAGCCTTGTGAAAATGGTCAGATCGAGTAAGGTCATGTCACAGAAATGAAACTAATAACTAGAAGTACTGTACGTGAAACAAGATTAAGGGTCACTTAAAAGTGTTATTAGACAAGAGCTAATCACGGTTATTACTAAACTTGAGTGAGTGTTTGAGAACTGTAACTGTAAAACAAATATTTTTTAGTTTGCAAAATAAATAATCGTCTGCTGCGAGAATTATTGTTCCAAAATATTTGTACAACTGCGTTTATATTTAAAGCATATTCATATACTGGTACATCGATATTTGTTGTCACAAGACAGTAACATTTTTATAAATATTTTCGTCATAGAATGCTGTATTTTTATGGTACAGTACAGTACTTTGTGTTAGTAATTTTGGGAAAATAAAGCATGGTTCTCGGCATGGTTTGTTTAGCATGCATTGTATCTAACAGGTTATAATGTTTAATGTAAAGGGATCTGAATGTAAATATAGAAATGTATAGTGTATTTAGTTTAAGTTTTGCATAAAAGATTAATTCTTAAATTACAAGTGGTAGACATTCAGGTAAACACAATGACATGAATAAGAATTAATAGAAAACAGTAAAGAAAAGGGGTGAATATGCAAATTGGGTGGTGTAATTAGTGGGGAACCACAGGGATCTGTATAAAGACCACTGTTTTACTTAATTTATATCCATAATCTAGATTCCTGTATAGTCAGTAAATTAGTTACTTTGCAAATAATACCAAATTAGGAGGATTAGTAAACACTATTGAAGCAGCAAACACACTTTATGAAGAATTGAATAAAAGCCAAGACTGTTTTATTCATAGAGGCTGTAAAAACAAAATGGAGAAACCCTGAGATATACAGTAAGTAGTTATTTATGAAAAAGTCTGAAAAGGGCAAAGAAAATGTCACAATATATAATTAAAAAATAAAATGTAAATAAAGGGAAAATGTGAAAATTGTACAATGCACTAGTAAATGCACAATTGTGATCATGTTTCATAAAATATATTGTTCTTCTGGGTTCAGAGCAACAGATACATTCCAGAGGAATATTCTAAATTGACAGGCTATAGGAACTGAAACGTTTTAGTTTTGAACAATGATATCTGGAAATCCAGTATTCAAAATCTTCCAAAGACACTGATAATCCCAACCCACCAGATTTCTTCAGAATGAACAGTGAAATATGAATCAGAAAACACAAGTGGAAATTAATGTGGAAGTGTATTTAAAACCAAGAATAGGAGGTACTTCTTTACCCATAGGGTTGTGGAAGTCAAGCTGCTCAGCCATGTTGTTGAGACCCTGGCGTTTCTCGAGAAAAGACTGGATGAGATCTTGGATAGGTTAGGTTCTTATGTTATCTGGACACATGTAACAGCACAGTTTGCTTAACACAGCTGTATTTCAAGGTACAGTACCAAACTGGGATCCCTTGATTGGAATTTGAAAACTTTATTCAGTGAAAGAAAAATATAGTAATATTTTTAAAATATATTTTATATTTATATTTACTTATGAAGTCCAAACATTGCCAACACTGTGTACAACAATTCTAAGGTACAGTAGATTCAACAAATACATACAGTACATACATTAGATCCTCTGTCCATCCATTTTCTAACCACTTCATCTTATCAAGTAATGGGCATAGGGCAGGATACACCCTGGACACAAACACTCACACACTCACTCCAGTGTCAATTTTCCCAAAAGCCAAATATTCTACCATATGGTTTTGGACTATGGGAGAAAACCGGTGCACCAGGAGGAAACCCACGAAAACATAGGGAGGACATACAAACTCTACGCAAATAGCACTCCAGGTCCAGAATTGGTCCAAGGACCCCAGGACCCCATGTTAACAACTGCGCAACAGAGCCACCCTACATACAGTAGGTACTCAAAAAAATAAAAATTCTAAAAGTTTAATGAGTACAGTCTTGAAGATAATTTTTTAAAACATATTTTCATACATGGGGTATGTGACAATCAGTGCGAACAGATTCTCCTTTTCTTGTGAAAGCAAAAAAGGTGGGTATGCTTGGCGGTTTTCTGGTATACTGTATGACTGAATGAACAGTCAGTTTAATTTAAGGATAATTTTGTTTCATGTGTTGTTTTGCTTTGTTAGTGTTTGAATTTCTAGTTTAAACGTAATTAAAGAAATTGAAGGTGTACATTTTTGGGTGTTCATTTTTAACAACAGTATTAAGCGAGCAAGTGGATTACACCATGTGCCCCACTAAATTTATTTATCCTTTTTCTTCCACTGCAACACTGAGTTTTCAAATGGTCTCCAGTTATTTGGCTTGTCAGCAGTGACAAATGATGAATCTGTAATGTATCCACGTTCAAGGAAAAAATTATCTGAGGTTTTTTTTACCTCCTTTTATTTTTATTCCTTTAAAAAATATTACATATTAGGACTCAGGTGGAATACCAAGCAGATGGATCATGCACCACCAAAAAACAGTTTTTTTTACAAATTAGTTGCTTTCATTGAAATTATTCCACCAGAACTGAGAACTTTATAAAATATTCTTTTCATTAACCGTATAGCCTACTGAGGCTGTCATACTACTTCATGAGGAAACAGTAAAATTGCAAGGTTTTACTGCAAAATTCTTTATTCTTATCATAATCTGCAATTTGAAATTACAGATTAACCTACAGTATTTCACAGTGCTTTGCATGAAAAATATTTACAGTGTAGTAGAAGCCATGATATAGATTAATACGTTTAATGATAGTCATTTTGAATTAAAATCTTCAAACTGTATGTACAGTAGGGTTCCTAAATTCTGTTGCTCCAGGAGTTCGAATGCTTTTTGACAAATACTTGTACTGGAACAAGCTATCAGGTGGCACAGTTGTGTAGTGGTTAGCAATGCTGCCTCGCAGCATTGAGGCCCTGGGTTCAATTCTTGAGGTGGTATCTGTGTGGAGTTTGTATATTTGGATGGGTTTTCTGTGGCTGTTGTGGTTTCCTCCCACAGTCCAAAGTCATACTCGTAGGTTAATTGGCTTCTGTAATAACTGGCCCTGGTGTGTGTGTCTCTGTATGTCCTGCAATGGACTGGCATCCCATCTAGTATAGGGTATGCCAGATTACCCTTCAGCTCTCCTCATGATCCTCTACTGGACAAGCAGATTAGAAAATGGATGAATGGATGGATAGTAACATGCTACTGTAACATGGCAATAATAAGCCTGTAATAGTGAAGTAATTCTCAGTTGTTCGAAAGGCATTCCAAACCTGGCCTTTGTTTTGAATTTGTTCGCTACTGTGGATGTGCAGTTTTGTTAAGTGGAAAGTACCTGAGGGATGCTGCATTGAGTCCCAGCCGAGGGTGAACTGCATGTTATACTGTACATTGGTGCTGCAAATCCTATCACCAAGACTAATTGCTATCGATGCTGAGCTGCTGAATTTGGAGGAGGAATTAGTAGGGAGAAGAGATAGTAACAGGTCTCATTTGGTATGATCCTGTTAAGCTGACAGAACCCTCTGGATCTTGAAAGGTGTTTCAAACTCACTGGGTCAGATGACCAGTGTTGTGGTTTAATGAATTTCTTTGCTTGCCTGTGGGTGTGCAGTTTCAGAGGCTCGAAGTGGCATGGAAAATGGTGGGTTGGATTCAGGATAGAGCCAACCTGCACATGCTACAGTATGATATGGAGTTACATAATATAGTAACTGATAACTAATTCTAATTGCAATTTTATGCCCAGTGATCTTGATTAAGGTCCCTGATTATCTAAATCCCTGATGATCACAAACATTACGCTATATTTAATTGATTTAGGGTAATGTACATCATTTAAATAGGTAATGCACATAAATTAAGTGGATAATATTATGTGTCATATGAGTTATGGTATTTCCTGCAGCAGCTCATTGAAATACAATTTTTACATCTGCAGGGTTAGTCGCTTATCCACACTATAGGAATGAGCATTTGGTATCCAACAAATTAGAAGCTTCTAAAATTCCATTGCCCTTTGTTGAATATAAAAAATAGTGTCCATACACTTTTGTAAACATACAGTTCAGTTTAATTTGTTTAAATTTAGTTTTTACCCTTCTTTAAATCCCTTGTAGTTTTCATTGTCTCTGAAGAGCTAAATCAATTCTGTGAAAATTTGATTATTTTCTTGGATTATTTTAAATTAATAATTGTTATCTTTCATAGAGTCCTGAGAGTGAAGGCAATCATATAGCACTTGATTACCAGCATATACTGTAATTATAACTTACAGTATGTGCTGGTACATTTAACCAGAAGCCAATTAATCTACAGTACCAGAACTGTAGGTCTTTGGACTGTGGGAGGAAACCAGAGCACCCAAAGGAAACCCACGTGAACATGGGGAGAACTCCACACAGATAGTACCCCAGGTCTTGAATTGAATCCAGAGCTCAAACTCTGTGAGACCACAATGCTAACCACCACACCACCATTCTGCCCCCATTTCATTTTTTCATTTAAAAACATTTCATTTTCTTCCTTTTATTCAATTCTATTCACTGTTCTTGCAAAAGGTAATTTCATTTTTGTACAGTAACTAAGTGTTTGCATAGTACACAGAATTTCTGCCTCTTTACAGAACATTCTTCACAGCAGGCTACGAACAGAGTACACAATATTTCCTGCATAACTTTCTGCATGTAGTATACAGTATGTATTCTGTTACAGAACCTATGATTAAAAAAATGAATCTGTTTTCTGTTCATTACTTCCCAGAAACATAAGAACAGAAAGAACATTATGAGATGAGACCTTTCAGCCCATGGTGATTGTGTGTTTGTTAGTTTATTGATCGTGGAGACTTACCAACAGTCCAATGAATAAACATTTTAGAGCATGGCTTGGCAGTTTGTTCTACTCATCAGGTACTTTCAGTAAGAAAGTGTCTCATTCCACAATTTATTTCAGTTGATTTGGCAGGTGTACCTTCTGTTCCCTCTGCTAAACACACAGTATGGCATAACTAAATTTGATTTTGTGGTTCATGGGTAAGGATGACAGAATCTCTTCGCATGAAAGAAGATGAGGGACAATATTTGGAGAGGTGCAGGGAATCAACAAACCTTGTCAACCAAGATCAATTTATATGTATTTGTACTGGCAGGAAGTTAGATATGTGGCATT